CTTGTCCAGGTACCTTCTCTCCAGAATTTTGGTTTGTAGACCTCCATGTCAACTTCTAGGGTTAAACACCTTACTTTAAGGACCATGTATTATCTGGATTAAGGATTTTACAATCCAAAATATATAGTAGTTTTAATATGGCAGTGTAAGGGTGTACCTTATTTCACCTTACAATGTGGGTGTGTGACACTGTAATCATCTCTCCTTCATTTCATTGCATTTAGAACCTTTGTACTGATTCTCCTTCATTTCACTGCTTTTACAATCCTTGCAGTGATTTTTCAGCAAGTGTCCCTGTCTGTGCATTGTGAGGACTTGATGTGATGTGTACTGCCAGTACTCAGAGCTGAAATGAGACCCACCTGAGATGTGAATGTATACTGTCTCATTTGGAAACTCCCAAGAAACTTCACTAATTTAGTATACACATTGCTGCCCACCACAGATTACAGATTTTAATCTCTTTATCTATCCAAATCTCAAAAATCCTTTCTTTCCATACAGAACTGATTGCTTTGCACACAAAAAATATTGTGTTCTTATCAGCCAAGATTCATGCTCACCATGAGGCAAAAACCAACTTTTAATTTATCCCACTGAATTATAACAATCTTACTTTTAACCCTTTATATGACATCTAAATAATGAAACCTCAACTCAACTGAAAACCTAATTATTTAAGCATAACTTTTGCTTTAATTTGGTGGAGAAACATAATTTATCTTATCATCTTGGTTTACATTTTATTCATTTGGGTACTCACTAGCCTTCCTACATACACATTTGTGCTTATATTTGGATTCTCTGTATGTAACATAGGTCTGTGAGATAAAGCTGAATAATTTCCTCTAGGGAAACAAGTTTTCCTTAAGTGCTGTGGAATGGAAGCATTCACTCTATCCTATTTCTGCCAGTCACATAGAGGAAAACAAGAAAATCCTGTGATGACTTTTTGCTTTGTTTCTTTACAAAATTAAAGATTTACATAATGATTTTTGTTTTTCCAGACAATCCCCCATCTCCCATAACATGTACAGCAAGCACAAACCAGCACTCTAAGGATAGTATTGGTACATAAAGAATGTAAGAGGCCAAATCTCTGCCTACCTACCAGAGCCCTAAGTTCCCCTAATGGCTACTGTACCTAGTAACATCTGCATATTGTTTTGAAGTAAAAGCTGAAATTCCTTTTTATTATTATTTAATGCCCAAATTTTTGTTTCTTTTAGAATGGAAGATTGTCTTTCCGTGGCAAGGGGGAAGAGTGCCTGTGCTTTAAGAAATACATGGTGTGTCTTCGTGAGAACATGATTAACTGTCACATTGACCCAAGCAAAGGTGGCATCCAGTCCAGTCTCCTCTCTCCAACATGTCACCCATGATGGACACCTAAGGAATCATTAAAAGAACAAGGGAGACACACAGGAATAAATTCCTGTGGATATGATATGCAGTACTGGGCTTGCATGAAGAAGTTGCATATTTTGTGTAGGTCAAGACATATACGTGGGAAAGTAAGACAGACTTTTGGTCACACTTTTCTGTGGGTTAAAATCACCTTTCAGTTAAGAGCAATTTCTTACCATTTCCTAAGATATTTATTATTTAAGCCAGCTCTGAAAGGAAGAAGATGGTAGCTTTAGAATAGAGAGGATATTGATGATGTTAATGATGGGAAAAATAGCATTTATTAGCTTAGCAGAAAAAAGAGACAATTACCTTACAGTGTGTTTGGAGAGGGGTAAGTGGGAGGGGGCAGTGTTATAAGTTGAAGTAGAAGGAAATGATAATGTACTGTCAGACCAACATCTCCACTGAGTCCAATGTTTTGGGCAGAGTTAGGAAGCCTATGTGCACTTCTGTGAGCCAAGTTCTGTAGTTTCCCCTAAGGATCAGGTCTGAAAGGAGTGGGAGAATATCTGTTTTGTGAGAAAGACTCCCTCACAAACAGCACAGTGGTTTGTTTGGTGTATGGAGATGGCCTCCAGTAGTTCATGCTGGTCGTTTTCAGCAGCAGAACTACAAGGAATGCAGCTGTGCACTGGGTGAAGTACAGCCCTGGAACATCAATGTAAGACCAGGGTATGCTGGTGATTTGATGGCAGGGGGTGTTCACTGCTGTAGTAGTGCATGGGCATCAAAACACATCTTGCACTTCTTGCTCAGGCACGGTTTAAACTGATCTGGTGTTTTGGGCCACAAAGGATTATGCTTTAATGATGAGTTTTGTGGTTTGGGGTGTTTGAAATGTAGGACAAGTGCTTCTGGGAAGATTCTTTCCACACAGGATTTTCTTCTGTTATGTGAAAAATCACTACACAGTTAAAATGAGCAAGTCCTAGAAACTTTTCTGAACTTACCAGCTCTCGACCCTTGTTCTTCTTCCCACAATACCACCTCCACCCCATTTCCACTTTTTCTTTCTGGTCCTATTGATACATCTGAACTTAAAGTAGTCTTTCTCAAGCTGTGTTTAGCTTTTAGCTAATTACTGCATTTAGATAGTTACTGCTTCAGAACCAAAAAAACAAAACAAAACAAAAAATTAGCTTGTTAATCCAAAAACGTGTCTAGTTTTCCTTCTGTACTAGTTGTTCTGAAAAAAATGAATTATGTATATGTACAAACCTTGTCTGTATACACCAGTCTTTCTCCTAGAACAATCTTCCAGGTTGTTAGAGATGGTGTTTTTTGGTTTGAGAAATGTTTCCTTAATATTTCAAATGCAGACCCCAGTAGGTAGAATTTAAATCAACTGATGATGCACTTGGGCATCTTAATTTCCTCTGCTGGACTGTGTGATGTGTCCCCAGGTCTAAAGAGGACAGGCAGAAAGCCAAGGAGGCTTCCTAAGACCAGTCAGAAATTCACACTCATTGTGAATGAGTGTGTCTATGAGAAAGAGCATGGATAGTACTTATTCTGATCTCAAGATCCAGTGTTCAGTCTTTTTAGGATGAACAGAAAAACAATACTGCTATTTAGGGCTGAATATAAATAGGTTTTGTGCTAGAAAGAAGCAAATAATTTTAATTACAAATTACATCTACTGATGTAGATCTGAAAAATCTGTAGCTTCAAACTATAAATACAACATTTAAGGAATCAAACTGTTCAGCAGAAAGATGGAAAAAGGTATTTGTGCATATAATTTTTTAACTATGGTCCTCTGAAAAGAGAGTTCTTGACAGAACTCAATGAACCTCAGTAAACAAGGGCATCAGCAATCGACATTTTTAAGGATGTGCAATTTCTAAACATGATCCCACTCCTGCAGTCGTTACACAGCACAGATTTTGCTATTAATTAGTTTGAATGTGGGACAGTTCTGCTGGGAGAAAGAAAGTGGCCTAAATAGCACGGTCCAAATTTTATCTGTAGCTATCCAAGAAATACGGATGTCTTTTATTAACCCTTGCCACCTCTGACAGCTAGAAATTAATGCTGGAGCTGTCTTAGTACTAATGGATTTTTGGAGTTCAATTAGCATGTAAGGGGGAAAGGGTGGGAGCAGAGAAGGAAGACAGCTGGTGAGAGAAGTTTCATGCCTGGTTCAGCTCCGAAGGGTAGAGTGAACCTTCAGACAAACATGAAAACATTTGCACACACGACGGAGAGCCTTAATTACTGAATGTCTGGAGAACAGGGCAGGGTTCCTCTCTCCAGGAGCACACTTTATTATTCTTATTCAGTTCCAATGAGTACAGTAAATCCCCCATTCAGCCTTCATCGTTTTTCTGGGCGATGCATTTCGGGAGAGCCAACAGGACCTCCATTCTGTTTGTGCAATGGGGCTTCAGGCATGTAAAAATGGCTACTGCTGGCGGTCACTGTATGCCCATTCACCCCCTCCCAAAGAATACAGCAAGAATTTTCCAAAAACCCTGACGGGAGGTATTACAAGTCACACAGCATTCGACTTGAGTCACACTGGAATAGTTGCCCACTACGCAGAGGGAGGAAGGGAAAAGGGAAAGCCCTATTGGGATAATTTTCGTGTGTCGGGCTGCTGCTGCGGACGCGCTGGGAGGAAGGCGCAGATAACACGCTGGCAATAGCTCGCTAGCGAGTTACTTTGTGTCTCTGGGGAGAGGTGAGTTTTAGCCACTCCAGTGTCACCGTGTGTGCCATGTGCGACATCGCGGTCTGTGCCTTCAGGGACGGAGCTGCGGCTCCTGCCCGCGCCTCAGGGGACCGCAGCGTGTCTCCCACCTCTCAGAGCTGCAGGGACACCCCCACCGCACTGCTCCCCGCAGCAGAGTCCCGGCACCGCCGCGGATCCCTGCGGCAATCCTGCCCTTTGCTGTGTGCCAAACATCGATTCCCCGGCTGGGATTAGCCCGGCCGCTTGCACGGCGGGGGGCACTGGGGGTGACGGGCTCCGGCCCAGTCCGGGTGCGCCGCTCAGCAGCTCCAACAATCGTCATCAGCGGGGAATCCAAAAACAGCCCCGGCACAGCGGGGCCGGCGCGCAGCCGACCGAGCGGCACAGCCCCGTCCCCCCGATCACCGCCCCGCGGCGGGGCCTCTTCCCCAGCGCCGCCCCCGCCGCCTTTGTGCGCGGCGCGGGGCAGCCCCGGGCCCGCCTGCGCCCGCCCCCGGCTGAGGCGTTGGGAGACGGTCCCTTACGCAGGAAAGTTCGGCGTCGGTTTCAAGGCTCCTCCCTCCGGTGAAGCAGACTGCGGGGCGCCTGGAAACCGGTCGGAGGGAGCGCGGCGCGGCGAGGCGAGGGGCGCGGGCTCGAGGGGCCGGCACAAATGGTCAGGCGGCGGCGGCGGAGGCGGCGGCGGCGGCCGTAGTCGGAGGCGCGGAGGACGCTGCCGCCGGTGCGGGCAGAGCTGCGCGCTGCGCTCCGCGGCCGCGTGAGTGGCGGCCGGGGCTGCCCCGTCCTTGCCCGCCGCTCCCTTCATGAGTCGCAAGTTCGGGCCGGGAGGAGCAGCGGCGGCGGCGGCGGCGGCGGGGCGGCGGGAGCCCGGCAGGGCAGGCGGCACCGACTGAGCATGGCCGAGCGGCGCGGGCCGGCGGTGAGCGGCGGCGGGGAAGTTGGCAGCGGCCGGTGCCCGCGGCTGCCGCTGCTGCTGGTGCTGCTGTGGGCGGCGGCGCTCCCGGCCGGGGGGCAGCTGCCGGCGTCGCAGTACAACGGCGAGCGGGGCATCTCCATCCCTGACCACGGCTACTGCCAGCCCATCTCCATCCCTCTCTGCACTGACATCGCCTACAACCAGACCATCATGCCCAACCTGCTGGGCCACACCAACCAGGAGGACGCGGGGCTGGAGGTGCACCAGTTCTACCCGCTGGTGAAGGTGCAGTGCTCGGCCGAGCTCAAGTTCTTCCTGTGCTCCATGTACGCGCCGGTGTGCACCGTGCTGGAGCAGGCCCTGCCGCCCTGCCGCTCCCTCTGCGAGCGGGCCCGCCAGGGCTGCGAGGCCCTCATGAACAAGTTCGGCTTCCAGTGGCCCGACACGCTGCGCTGCGAAAAGTTCCCGGTGCACGGGGCTGGCGAGCTCTGCGTGGGGCAGAACGCCTCCGAGCGCGGCACCCCCACGCCCGCCCTGCGCCCCGAGAGCTGGACCAGCAACCCGCACCGCGGGGGCGGCGGCGCCGGGGGCCCGGGGCCCGGCGAGCCCCGCGGGCGCTTCACCTGCCCGCGGGCGCTGAAGGTGCCCTCGTACCTCAACTACCGCTTCCTGGGAGAGAAGGACTGCGGGGCGCCCTGCGAGCCCGGCCGCCTCTACGGGCTCATGTACTTCGGGCCCGAGGAGCTGCGCTTCTCCCGCACCTGGATCGGCATCTGGTCCGTGCTCTGCTGTGCCTCTACCCTCTTCACCGTCCTCACCTACTTGGTGGACATGAAGCGATTCAGCTACCCCGAGCGGCCCATCATCTTCCTCTCGGGCTGCTACACGGCGGTGGCCGTGGCCTACATCGCCGGCTTCCTCCTGGAGGAGAGGGTGGTCTGCAACGAGCGCTTTGCCGAGGACGGCTCCCGCACCGTGGCGCAGGGCACGAAGCGGGAGGGCTGCACCATCCTCTTCATGATGCTCTACTTCTTTGGCATGGCCAGCTCCATCTGGTGGGTCATCCTCTCCCTTACCTGGTTCCTTGCTGCTGGCATGAAGTGGGGCCATGAGGCCATTGAGGCCAACTCCCAGTACTTTCATCTGGCCGCCTGGGCCGTGCCGGCCATCAAGACCATTACCATCCTTGCCCTGGGACAAGTGGATGGCGACGTCCTCAGCGGCGTCTGCTTTGTGGGCATCAACAACGTGGATGCCCTGAGGGGCTTCGTGCTGGCCCCCTTGTTCGTCTACCTGTTCATCGGTACCTCTTTCCTGCTGGCTGGCTTTGTGTCCCTCTTCAGGATCCGGACCATAATGAAGCACGACGGCACCAAGACAGAAAAGCTGGAGAAGCTCATGGTGAGGATAGGCATCTTCAGCGTCCTCTACACGGTGCCGGCCACCATCGTCATTGCCTGCTATTTTTACGAGCAAGCTTTTAGGGAACAGTGGGAGAGGAGCTGGGTCACGCAGAGCTGTAAGAGTTATGCCATTCCCTGCCCCAACAACCACAGCGGCCACCACCCGCCCATGAGCCCCGACTTCACTGTCTTCATGATCAAGTATCTCATGACCTTAATCGTGGGCATCACCTCGGGCTTCTGGATCTGGTCTGGGAAAACCCTGAACTCCTGGAGGAAGTTTTACACCAGGCTCACCAACAGCAAGCAGGGCGAGACCACGGTCTGAGACCCCTGCTTGCCAGGCTAGGGAGATGCGGGCCGGCGGAGGACTGAGGCTCTGCCTCGGGAAGCAGCTCCTTATCCAGCCTGGGCAAACTTTTGGGACTGCGAGTGGCTTCCGCAGGCGGCGGGGAGCGGAGGACGAGCTAGGGGGACCCCAGTGCTGGGATCTCCGGGCTCTGCCCGCCCCGTGCTGCTCGGGCTGTCTCCTGTAGGAGCTGAACGCACTGTCAGGTTGGGGGAGAGGGATGTAAATAGCCTCTGTAAGATTTTGTAAGTATATTTGTATTTAAATTACAAAAAAACTCACTTTTTTTTTTTTTTAATTATTTAGGACACTTCTAACCCGTTTGCGGATTTTACTTCCTCGCTTATCACCTCCCCCACTCCCCCCGCCCCACTTTTTTTTTTTTTTTTTTTTTTTTAATTTAAAGGAAAAAAAGGCTTTGGATTTTTATTTCGTAGGGAAGGATGGCTAAAGCTGCCGGTAAAAGAATCGAAAACAAATCCCCTTTTTGTCCGCCCCACAGGTTTTGTAATGGCTTTGCTTGGAATTTCAGCTGCATGAGCAGGAGGGCCCGAGCGGGGCTGCGGCCGGGGGCGCCTCCTGACCCGTGCTGGGTCCCGGTCCCGGTCCCGGTCCCGGTCCCGGCCCGCCCGCGGTAGCGTGGAGGTGGGGATGGGGATGGGGATGGGGATGGGGATGGGGATGGGGAGGGAGGAGCGCCGCTTCCCCCGCGGCCCCGGCCCCGTCTGGGAGCTCCGACCCCGCCCGGTCCCGTACGGGGAGCACGGAGAAGTGCCCGAGCACGGCGCAGGGACGGCGCTGAGCCCCGGGGCCTCTCTGGGGGTACAGGGAGCAGCCGTGCCCGGGGCTCGGGGCGGGCCGCTGTGAGCGGGGGAGCCCCTCGCGGGGTGCCGGGTCCGGCCGTGCCGCGCACGGCTCGGGAGCGGCTGGCCCGGCTCGGTGTACGGGCTGGGGTTTGTTCACACCGCCTGCACCTGTAGCACCTCCGAGGGCTCAGGAGGTGCATGGCGGCAGAGGCACACCGACAGTCCCTCCTGCTGGGGCTTTTTTCCAAGCCCACGTTCCAGCGCGGGGGCGCCCCGCGGGTGCTCCCACCGCCGCCCGGCCCGGTCCCTCCCCGCCGGGCTGTGCCGGCTGGGGTCAGCAGGATCAGGAAATACGGGCTCCCTGAAAAGAGCCTCGTCGGAATAAAACGCAGCATTCCGTTTGGGGCTTTTGTTTGTTTCCTCCCTGCCCCCTAGTTATATTCATACACCGGCTCTTCATATGGGAAACATTGGAGCCATTGCCATTGCTCTGAATTTTAATTCGTTGAGATTTAAATCATTACACATTATGAGGGTGTGATGATTTTTGCCAGTAGTAAAAACAATGGAAAGGAAAACAGTAAAGCAGAATGCTTAAGCATTCTGGTGAGATGTGAGACCTGAAAGAGCCTCTGCTGTCTTTTTTTCCCCTCTTTTTTCGGTACAGAAATAACATTGCATACTGCAAGGATAAAATACCATGTGTGCAGTATATGAGCTACCTTGTATGCTCCTGGGTGTGTGGGATTGTGCTTCTAATACGTTAAAAAAGTTAAAAGACGAAATTGTAACTTTCAACAGATGCATTTGAATATGTAGACCTCTGTATGAAAAACAGCAGAATGCTTCTCTCCTGATTGTATTGTTTTAAACTTTTTTTTTATATTACAAATGCCTGTATTTAGGTTCATAAACATTATCTATGGCTACCATACCCTGAAATGCAAAATTATTTTAATTTGGTATGCATTTATTTCTGTTCATTATCACAAGATCATCTATATTTATAGAGGAATAGAAATTTATATATATTAAATACCATATTTTTAATTTCTCTGAAATAAATTGAGGTTTTGTACAAAAGTAGCTTGTCCCTTTATGTATTCCTCTAACTCATACTGTGTGAAAGCAGTGTATATACTACAAGATGTGTGGGATTCCTTTTTTCTTTTCTTATGTTGAGTTCACAGTAACAAGCTGGAATTCAGTGTAGGAATTCATTGTGCATTTTGGTTTTTATCTCTGGGCTACTCTAGATTAATCCTTCAAAAGAAGTAATGTAAACTGTTCAAGATCTCTGACAGGGTATGGTCAGTGGTGTGAAATCCAAGAAGAGATCTGCTATATGGCAGGAGAAGAAAGAAGCTCACCAGTTCTTTTTTGGTGGGTTTGGTGAGGGTTTGTGGGGTTTTTTTTCTTTTATTTTTTTGGTTGCAGAAAAGAGTTCTCACAACTAAGCCTTTCTTCTCATTTTCCTTTTTATTAAAATTTAAAAAAACCCCTCAGTGCTTAAAATAACACTAATTGTGTTGCAATATTGTCAGAATGTTTTAGTTAGTAAAATAGATTTATTTCCTGAATTTTGACTGTTTGGTTAATCCAGAGTTAAATGTTTGTGGAAGCATTTCAGCTTTATGGAAAGTACACACATTCTTGAACCTTTCAAAGCAATATAATTTTTTTTCTCTTTTTTCTGTAACTCACTGTTTGAAGTGCCATTCGGTAAGTGTGGGTTTATTAGGGTTATACTGGTTAATTATCCAACTTGATTTTTGATTTTTAGTGTTATAAGCTAGTAAAGCATTTCTCTCTGTAGATCTGGAGACAGATACAAATTATTTTTGGCTTGTTTACTTTATTCAAATTGTGATGCATAAACAGCTACAAGGAAGTAAGGGAAGCTTAACAGAATTTCTCTAAGGTGAGACAAGGGGGCAGGGTTTTCTCATTATTTTAAAATTTGTTCTACACAAACATAATTCCTGCTTTCTCGGATATTTGGATATTTTTCTCAATTTTTTTTCCTCTTCAAGTTTTGGGGTTTTTTTTGCCTTTTTGGGGGGCTATTTTGGCATTTAAAATTGTGCTGATCAGCACTCTGCTAATGAACTGAAGTACAAGCCATTCACTTTCGTTGCAATCGAATTCTTTTTGGTCAGTGTATAATTACATGTCAGTCCTTTTGGCTAATCTTGTTTTCTTGCATCAATGTATGTTATCTATTTATGGGTGGGAGAACACATTTATTTGTAACAGAGATGTTGCAATTATGGTAAAGGTAGGAAGACCAATTTTTAAAAACATTTCTCAGAAATGAATAATGGATTTTTTTCTACAAGAAGTAAAATGTCAATATTTACAGTTCATGATTTGCAGCAGATATGGATCCCCTTCAGTTCTCTGGGTTTTTGGGGTTTTTTTCAGAACTAAAGCTCCATGTTCAATCTTGGTTATTTTAATAAATATACTAGAGAGTGCAATATGTTCATAAATTTGTTGAAAGAGCACCCCCTGCTTTTTTGCTTGCTATTTGGTTTGCTATAAAAATTTTGTTGCAATTTCTGTGACCTTTCACAGGGCAGTAATTTGCAAAGGTCACAGTCATCACTGAATGCTGTGGCACTGTCTGTGTGGCTCATCCACCTTTTTATGTTTGATTTCTCAACACATAATGGTATTTCAGATGCTTTATTAGTAAGATACAAAAATATCTTTTGCATGGGGCCTCAGTAATGGTTTACTGTTAAAAGGAAATCTATCCATTGCTCCAGGGGTTTTAGATGGCAGTTTTTACAACATTGTCTGGGTGATTGATGTGCCATGGCAACCATAGAAAGTATCAATATACAGTAAGTAGAAAGTATCAGTATATGAAGAAGCAGTTTTCTCCACTTCTCTTGTCCCTGACAAAGTTATTATAAGAACAAACTTGATAAAACAAATTTTTTTGGACTGAAGTTCTTGTTTAGGCATTCCATACTCAGCAGCTTTCCTTTCTCTCATGGGATATATTTATACCCTGAAATGAAGGGACACTCAAAATCACCATTCCCCTGAAGAGGGCTGTAGCCTGAAGAGCTGGGGATGTTGATTTACTGTTCATCCTTCAGTAACAGTAATGCTCTTTAATGTAGTGGCAAATTTGTGGTATTGGAATGAAATTGTATGCTGTTTCCATAACAAATCCTATTGGGAAGGAGTAGGATTTCTGGTTTGTTCATATAGTAATGCCCAAAAATCTCTGGTATATGTACATATTTGTGTGTGTTTCTGTTGTGTTTGGTTTTGTTTTTTCTTCAATAGAGGGGCAAGACAAGACTGAAAGCTAGTGGGGCTTAAATGTGCCCTCTGGATGATGCCCACCCTTCTGCTGCCATCCCTTTGCACTTTTTAAAAAAATTGTTATTCAAAGGGATGATAACTAGGTATGAGAAGAGACTGCTGTTTATTTATATGATGAGTATTTTTCAAAATAGGCTATGGGCTAGTATCTTATCAGTCTTTTGCCAATCCCAGTCACGAGAGACAAACTCCAGACTGACACTGTAGTTCTTTTTAAAAGGTGTGCACCCTGAAGCTGAGCAGAGAAAGTAATCCTGAGTTTGTCATGATGCACTATAAAATTATTGAGAGTACCCTTGCAAGAGGTTTGCCTTTGTGTGGCATAATCTTCCACTCCAGTGCTGCATGGCCTCAGAAGGAGCTTCAGCTAGCAAAACTCAAGACAGATGAAGAGGTGCTAAATCAAACATTTTAACACTTACCTATAAAAATAAGGAAACTGAGGCACAGCTCTGTTTTCGTCATGGATTTACCCTCTAGTTCTCAGGAGCTAGAATTGCATTTTATTTGGTACATGTTTCCAATGACAGCACTACATGACTGGCAATACTGTGCAAAATCTGAATATGATCCTCACCCTCCCTTTTAATGGTCCTAGATTGTATTGGTTGCTGTTTGCATTGCTGGACCCAGAGCATCATTGCTCTGCATGGTGTGCAAACTTGGGGTCAATGGATCATATGGATCCTGATTTCAAATACTGATTCACAAATGCAACTCAGTAATGTGCTTAGACCCATTAGAAGAGAGGGTTGCTCTTGTGTCCATAGCTGTGAGAGTTTTTCATATTTGTAAATCTCTTGCCTCTGTGGTCCAGTTGAGCTGTAAGGCTTAGGCAATGATTGACACTCATATGGAGAAAGAGAACTTAGTTTTTTTTGCTTTGGACTGACCCCTTTGCTGTTTCTGTGTTTACAGCACAAAAGAGAAATGCTTTGTTATGAAGCTCCTGATCAATTTTGAAATAGTAGTACTTTAATAAGAGTAGTAATTTTAAAATGGGATTGCAGGTTTAGGAAGCAAGACTTGTCTTACAGCTGAGGCCTTGGTTTCCACAGTTTAGTTTTTAGAAGTCTGCAAACATTTTAAGATGTGAAATAGCTTCTTAAGGACAAAATAAGCATGCCAGGATTAGGTCCTGGACACATTTCAAGCATTATGAGCCCCATATTCATTTGTGGATGGTTAAACAGCATCACCACCCAGCGATGCTGTTAAAGCAGACTAGATAAGCCCTGTAAGAAAAAAGGCATAATTGCATTTACATGCCAACTTAAATTCATTCTGCACCTTTTGTCATTTGGGGTCACTAAATGGAGAAGCAAATGTAATTTCTGTCATATGGGAGAGATTTCAGTGAATTAGCAAAATAGACGTTAGTAAACAATATGTAATTGCAAGTGTAACATCTTCCAGATAAAAGCAATACCACTTTGATAATTCAATTGTAGGCAATGCTTTAAAAAA